CTCTGTAATTCATTAAAAGTGAGTGTATGTATAGATTCATCTTTTGAATTCCCGGAAATTAATTGATTGCCTTTAGCTTGCCAATTCTGTAGATTATTATGTAAGAATTTCCTATCATAATCAATGCGGTCTATGGTGCATAATATTTTTTTACATGACTGTTTTGAATTTACATGATTTTTTAACGATATAAAGTGACAATGAACAAACTGACTACACAAGCGCTCGATATTAGAGTTCAAGTAGTAGGTATTTACATTGCGACTTCTTAAGACCTGTAGAACGATAACCGTTTTGTTTTCGAGGGCTTGAAGGCATTTTCTGAGTTGATTCACAGTATGTTTTGGATTTAGGTCATTCTTTCCGATGCTTAGTATGACCCTGTCCCGTGAATGTATAATTGGTGGATGTATCTCTCTGATTATGTCCTCCGAGAAAGCATTTGGTTTAATAAATGAAGAAACATTGTATTCTTCTTGTTGGGTATTTGTCTTCGTTTTGATTAAGGCCGCAGCTAATCCTCTACATTGTTGTAGGCCGTAGATGAATATTTTCGGATTTTGTTTTAATGTAGCTTCAGGATTGTGGTGTTTATCACTGGAGTTCTGTATACTTCTCTCATAATAACTCTTATCACTTTTATTTTGATTGATAACCTTTAAACACTTGTCAAGTTCCCCGTTCAGGTTTGCGATTTCAGTTTTAGCCAAAGTCAATTCCTGCTGTAAAAGTAAAACTCTTTTCTCGAGTTCAAATGTTTCACGATTATTTAGTTCAGTCTTCCTAAGTGGTGTTGCTGTTATGCTGGAGCGAGTAATGCTTTTATTGATAGTATGTCTTTTAACTTCACAACCATTATTCACTGTTTTTACTGGGGATTGGCATATATTTTTCAATACTTGTATGTCTTTTGTAAGTTTGTTGATTCTTCTTTCCATTTCGTTCTTTTCCAAAATAGTATTTTCCAATTCTTCTTGTGTAGTTCCTAAAGACGATTTCAGGGCGTCAATTTCAGTTTTCATCTCTTCGATAAGACTACATTCGATAACAATGAACGCCATCGCAAAAAGCAATCATTTGAGGTCGGCAACTAGAAGTATATAATTATTGATGTTGCCCGATGTTTAGTTCTAAAAATTACGACTTAGGTAGTTTTTTGTATTTGACCATGTACGTGAAAAAAAAATAAGTCACAGAAAGTTTTCTATAAAAGTAGCATTATTTTAATTTTCATTTTTTTTTGTTATTTATTTGTTTTTACAGAAATATTGACATTAAATTGTCGGGGTACATAACAATTCATACATAAGAGGTAAAATCTGAGTTAGTGCGGTTATTGGTGTCACGTTAAGATTTCTATAGTGATTTCTAGTTTAAAAATTGATAGTCCATTTAATCAGAGCACGATGACATCCAGAAGCCCACCCCAGAGACGATAAGAAGAAGAAGCCCTAAGTCCCGCACCAACAATTGAAGCAGAATCAACTGCAAAAATGGAAAAGTGGCTATCTTCAATCGAGCAATGCCTGAACGATATATGCAGCATTTCAAATGATGTTAAAGTCAATTCAGAGCAAAAACATAAAATAAGCAGCATAAGCAAAAGCGTTACGGGAGGAGTTTTCCAGTTAGCCGTAAAATACTTAAGCAAAATATATAGAATTGAAGCTGCATATCCGACCCACGAGGAAAACTAAAGACGGAGGTGTCATAATCAGCGCTGAAGGAAAAGATGATCTCGAGAAGTTGAAGCAATTGGAGCAACTAAAAAATTCAGCTAAAAGTAGAAAACAAAATTAACAGGAAACCAAAAATAAAATTATTAGGAGTGCCCTCCTCTATTCCTGAGAAGGAGGTGATGGAGTACCTATTTGAGCAAATGTCTGCACGTGTAACGCGATAGGTTTTTAAGCTCGATCAAGTTGAGCCACAATTCTGGCAAGAAGAAGTCATCATTTCATCACACCGTTAGGGACTTCACGATCGTAACTAGATGTTACAAATATCAGCAGTATGGACATTCCGCAAAATACTGTCTAGACGCCGACTCCACTTTTAGTCACTCACTGGAGCTGCGTAGTTCATGTAATTAAAGATTGCTCGGATCTGCAAGATTTACGTCAGTGCGCTTCTTGTCAGCGTTACAACAAGACAGGCCAGCACAGGACGGGAGATGCGCTGTGCCCAGTGAGAAAAAGTGCTAAAGATAGATACTTAAACTCCATCGACTATTAGGGCGCCTGGACCTCCGAACAGCAAGACAATGTAGTACAGGAATGGGTAGCGTAGCAAACGATTTCGTAAATATCATAGAGTCTTCCTTAGAATATGAATCCTTTACGTGTAACCCTGAGAGATTTTCCACGATTATTCCTAATATCAAGTGTAGCCATAATATTTTATTTCAAAATATTCGTAGCATACTGTAATTGTAATAGTTTGGTAACTTTATTAAGTTAGATTCATATAATTGTATTAACTGAATGCTGGTTGTCTTTTGCATGCTGCACTCCCCAATTAGCTGGATGTGACACATATTCTAATAAAAAAACGAATATTTTACAAAATGACGGTGTTACAGATGAACCCGCTATTGTAGACGGTAACTGTTTCATTACAAAGATTGAAAACGATACCGCGATTGTGGCCATTTACATTTCTCCTTCTTATCACAATATTACTAACTTTTTAGAGTCACTCGCTGATATTTTACAAAATTTAACCCATTTTAAAAGATTATATCTGATTGGTGATTTAAACATAGACATCAAGTCGGGAAACATTGATCAAAATTCACAAGAATATCTAACATTTGCAGACAACTTAGACTTAACGCCTATTTACGGTACAAATGACGTAAACGTATCACCAGATTATCTTATTTCTTCCTTAAGAAATATTATTGACAGAAATACACGTACCACTTTGTTATTACGACGAAATAAAATTATTAAACCATGCATTTCTCCTGGACTTTTACGTTGTATAAGGCGTCGTGATAAACTTCAAAAAATCCTGAAAATGAAATTCCAAAAAAAAGAAAAATAACTTATTTTAGATACCGTAATTATTGTAATAATCTACTTAAGAAATTAAAACTAAAATATGAACAGACAGATATACAAAATGCAGGTCAAAACATGAAAAAATTATGGAGAGTCATCAAAAACATTACTAACACCAGTAATACTAATTCGTCTGCATATCAGCTGATTCCAAATACATCTACCGCAGCGATTTCATTTAATTCCGCAAATAATTTCTTTGCAAATGTAGATAGAAACTTAGCTAAAAAGGCGAAACTCTACGACAATAACTATCTCTGTCACACTCAGCACCCTTCAATGGCTATTTCTCACTATTTCGTTATATTTGATATTGATGAATCTGAAGTAGGAAAAATCATTGTGCTCTGAGAAATGACTGTGTGGTGGTGTGACCTACTTACACCGTCATTTCACCTTTATGTATCGTATAATTTTTTCTTTTACTTTAAATACAATTTAAATTTTAATTTTGAATTGTTCCATCTTCCTTCGCTTTTTCATTTTGTTTTCGTACCACGGTCACTCCCTGCTCGACCGCCACAACAGTCGGAGCTGTTTCAAATTCCATCGCGTATAATCGCTAATTTTGGTTCTTTACTACGTTTATAATCGTCATTAAATAAGCTAAATCATGTGTAATAATCTATAACAGTCTACAGCTTTCATGTACCTAAGATTACGTATCTGTAATTCAGTTACTCGGCCCATTTAGGGGTAAGTGTCTTAATATCCATTATAAAGTGTAGGGAGTGTTTTATACTATTGTACCTGTTTTTTACATTTACCTTTTTGTTGTTACAGCCTTTCGTTTTACTTTACTTCTTTTAATAAATTTTTTGGACCGGAAGTTTCCCGGTTCATTGCCGTGAACCTGGTCACCGCTAGTTAGAGTTACAACCCTTTCAACTGTACTACTGGAATTGATAAAATACCCTGTTCATTTATCAAGATTTTGAAGCATCACCTAATACCACCACTTACATATTTATTCAACCAGTAGTGCTTTGTAATAGGAGTATTGCCCCGTATTTTAAAATGTCCATAAAAATGGAGTTAAGAGTTGCTTTGATAACTGTCGCCCCGTAGCCATAGGCTAATAACGTACTTAGAGAAGAACAGACTCTCGGCAACTACACAATACGGCTTTAAAACTAACAAATCGACTGACTGCGTTAGTGCATGAACTGATTACATTGTAAAACACAAAGACTGAAAAGAAAGTGCTTAGCCATAGTCTTAGACCTCGCAAATGCGTTTGATACAGTCTCAATTCCAATTCTCCTCGAAAAACTATACTACTTAAGAATAAGAGGCCATGCACATAATCTTCTGAAAAGTTATTTAACTGACAGGACTTAACGCGTTAAGATAGATGATACAGTAAGTGAGGAACTGACTGGTCCAAATGCTTGGCGTTTACATATGTATCAGAAAAAATGGTTCTACAGATCAACACTTGTTTCGGCGTAGTATTACTTGGTTTAATTTATGGCTAGAAAGATAGAAAAAAGATCGATCATCTTTGTCATTAGCCGAAGGTAAGTTCCATAATTGTTCAGGACACTAACCCAAAACAATGCTGCGTTATTTGCTGATCAATGAATGACGGATGGGAATGCAAGAAATGTCAGAAAACTTTTTACATCGAAAAGGGGTACTTTGAAAAATTTTACCTTTACTTGACTCAAACGAGTGCAAAAATGTTTTTTTTTCCAAATTTTTCAAAATAGTATTTCCTGACCTTAGTAACATTACACAAATTGAAATTTTATAACAAAAGTATATTTAATTTATATTTGGGCATGGGTTAAAACGACCGTAAGCAAGTGTGTTCTCAGCTGTCAATAAATAAATACGTGTCGTATTTGTTATGTAAAACAACAAAAACTGTATAAATATAAGGGATAAAGATCTTAAGTCACATTTACCGAAAAAGAGTATAACGAGGAGAAGCAATGAAAATTATATTCTTTTTGGTAGTATTAGCTTCGGCTAATGCTGATTTCTACGACACTGTTTCGGGAGAAAAAATATCCAAATCCACGTATGAAGAACGGCTAAATATTTCCGAGTGAGTAAATATTTAATTTTTTTAAATTTTCTAAGGATAGTCGATAGTTGCTTTAGATTCTAATATTTTATTTTTCTAAAGGCACTTTTACTACAGCAAATGATAGGGTTTCTTTTATATATATTATTAACTAAATCCAATATTTAATTTGAATGACGGGTAAATAGCCTCAACCGGACAATTTTACATTCATTACCCGTATGAAAAATAATCGTATTTATTCATTGCCATATATTTTAGGGCATGTGCGAGAATAGTAGCTCCCTGCGAAAAAGAACAATTCAGCCGCATAGATGGCACTTGCAATAACTTCTTATATCCTAGCTATGGAGCCACATTTACACCTTGGAGAAGACTACTTTCTCCTAATCCTCATAAAGGTAATTAAACCATCACAAATTTCGTATATGAAAGAGTCCAGCGAAGTGCTGCCTATTTCTGCCACCAAGCAGTATTGTGAGCATTACTGCGTTCCGATTTAGAACGGTAAGTGTGCTGGTGAAATTACAGGATGGAACTTGTCAACTTATGTTCCAGGGTGTTGGGCGCAGTAGCAGTGCCCCTCAGATCTTTGTGAGTTTTAACTCAGCTCTGAGTGGCACTGCAACTGTCACTTATTATTATAAAAAAAATTAAATCTGTCTGGTCTTGTCGTTCACAAGAAATCACTTAAGCAGCTAAACATAATTATAACTTTAAAAATAAAAACCGACCTCAAAAGTTCGTGGATTAGCATCTATTTGCCAAGTTTTATTGAAACCGGTTACCGGAAAGTGCGCGAAACCGGATTCATCCTAGGGGATGGCAAGCTAGGGCTTGCCACCCTTAGAGGTGGAATAAATGGGATCAATACTGAGGTACCTTCTTCCCAACAAAAAAGAGCCATCAATGAAGAGAAGAGTAATTGCATAACCTATACACACAAAATGTACAGTTTTTATAACCCACTGTCTGCCAATCCGTTAGCCGGTCAGTCATACATAGTAAGGTTGGCATATTTAAAAGTATATCAAAGCCAACATCACTTTGAACATCGTGTAACAGAATTCGGTTCATTGTTCACATAATGGGTTTACGAAACGATTGCCTAGTCCATCTACAAATCACGTTAGCCAGTCTCGATCATGGTTTCTTTATTTACAATGTCACGTAAGATCAAACTGGTGAGGTCATAAAGAGGGTGGCGCTTAATTGATCATCGACGTAGTTGTATGACATGATGATCGTTATTCCATGTTGGCTCGGTTGCCACATGAAATTAAGGATTAAAATGGATGCTAAATGCTTTATAAAGCGAGTGCGCAATTAATAAGATAGAAGACTAGCCCGGAGAGTTAGGACAGTGAGCGTATCTTACAGCTCCGTCACCAAAGAGGAAATTTGGTAGTGAACTTTAGAGTTAGGCTTAACGGTGGCAACCGTTAGAGTTGTGCAATGCTCACCCGAGGCACTAGCCTCTTGAGAACTGGATCAGAACCTGAACTTGAAGGTTCCTGTGTACGCACAGGTCACTTCTTGTATACCCTAAGGCTCGATATGGTCACTATAAACAAAAGTAATGTAGAAAGATATTATACTAGGTAGATACTGTCTCCCTTTCGGTCATGCTCCGACAATTATTTTGATACTAATATCAAAATTGTTTGATTTAGACTTTATTTTTAATTATTATTTCCGCAGCTTCTGAACCAAGAGAAACAAGTGATGGCAGACCTTTGCCTCTCAGTCGTGTTGCAGCTACCACGCTACTATCAAAAGGACGTGTGCCCAGCTTAGAATTCACGAATCTCGTTCCCAATTATTGGCTATTGTCTATTACTGATATAGCTTTTCCTCAAGATACTGGTAACTATATGTCCCATTCAACCGTAACA